TTCTGTGATCCGTCAAGAATACGCCTCTACGGTAATGATGAGAATTACATTCTCATAGTATCCATTTATTCATCACACTTCTTCAGGTGATCGATAAACACAGGAATGCATTGACGCGATACATTGCATACCGAGCCAGCGACATTCGCTATCTTTCCTCTGGCCAAGTCATCTTCATTTTAACGCTGCACGATATCGAAAGCATGCGCTCGGCAGCTGGATTCCCATCCTCGTTGGTTTCGTACTTCATTAACGATAGCCTCAACGAGCATCCTGGACTAAGTGCATGCATGGAATCGGTCGCTGAAAAGGTCTGTACTCGTATTCTTCTGACTTAGCCACCTGATATGACCGTTCTTGGTGCAGGTTATTCGAGATTCTATCAACGATCTGAATATCAAAGCATCGCAACAGGCCCTCCCGAAACACTTATCTGCTGAGCTTCACGCCCTTGTCGTTTCCAGCACCCATCGCATTGGCAAGGCTCGAGATATCGCCTCCAAATATCTCAATCGCCTCATCACATCTTTCCCCTCCCTAATGTGCGACCCACTGCTCGTTTTCGCTATCCTTGAAGTCCTTACACTGCTGCAACGGGCTTGCGAGAATGAGTACATCGACGAGGTAAGCATAGCAGTCAAATCCGTGACGAAAAAATAATCTCTTGACGACAACAGTATAATCCTGTTTATGAATTTCATTCCGACAGAACAGGTATTACTCTGCAGTTGACTGATAGCTATCAAGTCCGTAATGAGATCCTCGGTCAATTGAAGCGCAATGCCAACAATTGGTTTGAGTTGGCTTTGGGCCGTGCTCCTATGGAACTACAATCTACATTGCAGGTAAGATTTGCTCTACAACTCAACCTACGCAGTCTCAACCTTCCCAAAGAAATATCTGGCGGTCAGCCAATCATCTTCGGGAATAAACTCTGCCGAACTCGGTGCATCGATCGCGGAACAATTCGGTAAAGCCATTGGGCCCGTTCACCGTCAACTAGGTATTTACTACATTAATGCTAGTTGATGAAGGCTCATAGTTTTTAGCATCTTTATCATCTTTGTCTCAATGGAAGATCGATGGAGCAAAGGCCCTCTCAAGCCAGATAGCAATCAAGGGTTACTTCGCAGGGGAATCTGCTGGCATTCGTCTGGCAAACCGGGACGGTAAGTAGTTATCTCTTACTCTCTTTCAGTTATGTTGACTAAACGCTTTGTTAAGGTGCCGATAAATTGGCAACATTGCCTCCCCAGACTGCACCATCGGCAGAAATCAATGCTCTGAAATTCAAATTGTCGCATACGATGGAAGAGATACGGAAAAAGAACAGCAGTCTTACTGTACATGATTTGAGACGGCTACTCTTTCGATGTGCAGCTACGCTTATTTCGCTGGAAAAGGTGGGCAGAATTACTTCAAATTCGCCCACGTTCTCACTTTTTTGCCCAGGGCGATTATGACCTATTGCATCATCTTGTCAGCCTACCATTCGGTGTCGGCACTCCATCAGCGATTGCTTCAGGAATCGAAGTTTGGAGTTGGGTGATTGCTGAAAAAGCTGAAGTAGAGGTCACCTTGATGGGAGAGATTCTCTCAGCTTGGTCTGACTCAATAAGACTACAAAAGGGAATCTTCTCGAAATCGTTGAAGTAGGTCATTGCCTGGCAAGATCTTGCACCTCATTGACGCGCCTCAGCTACGACGATCCTTTCTACCACCCTATCAGCTACAGCCCAACTGACAAGAAAACAATAGACCAAGCATTAGCTCAGGCTCGCAGAATGTTAACGCCCCATGCCTTGGTATTGCAAATGCTGTTCAGCCGCCTCCAAGCTGCACGATATCACAGACCTGGAGTCATGTTCATCATTCAGCACCTCGTGTTACGGTCAGCAAGAGCTTTCAAATCCTTGAGGTAGGCCTATTCTCCCACCCATCTTTATTATTCAAGGCTAAGCTAATGACGTACAGTACTCACGCTCTTGCTCGTGAAGCTCGATTTTCCTTTCTCCTGTTTGGTTTTGAAACTCTCAAGAGTTCTCACCTTGACGCCTTCTGCGAGAACACTCTAAGAGAGTCCCTTTACTCCGTTGCATTCTCCTGGTTTGCCGTGCGTCCCCAGTATGTCTACCCATATCTTATCTTGCGACTGGAGGTGTAGGCTTACGAGATCATCCACCGCGGGCTAGATGGTCCTACGGAGCCAATCGTGTACAAGTAGATGCCGACATCAAGGTCTTGTCAGAATTCTTGTCATATCTGCAATCAGATTCAGTCAGGGGTCCCCCTTCGATTTCTAGTCTGACGGTGGTTCGAGTACCAACTTCGTGTAAGAATCGTTGTCATTCTTCCCCAGCATGACCTGTGCTGAAATCATTTGCAGATTATGCAGATAGAATGCGGAGTCTTAACTTGCCCCTGCGCTTGTTGACAGAGAACGAGATATTCCGGTTATCAGTCTGGGGCAACCCAGCAAACGAGACACGGAAAGCAGGAGATATCATTGGTAACACTGAGCGAACATTGCTAGAGGTGAATTTGATCATGCTTTATGGTCTTGCCCATGCTGACTTCTCCCATAGCCATCTTGGGCCTCCATTGTTCGTACAGTTTGGCGCCTTGATCCGGCCATTGCAGTATATCTTACCGAGCGCTTCAAAAACCCAACTATACGTTATGAGGTTGGGAAGTCTGTCCGCTCCAGCACTGTCGATGTGCTTGATGTTCCCGAAGCTTTGACCTTCCTTCTGGGTGACAGGCTTGATCCTCATGTCCGCAGAGACCTCAAGGTATATATCCTCTTTCAGATGGCAGTATCAGTATACTCAAGTTGAACAGCATCTTCTCCTTTGGGCTCCTGTGCCCCCGGTCATTGCCAACACCTTCTTCGAAAGGCGGTTCAACAGCGACCCTCTGGTTTTGCAATATGCACATAGAGTATTAGCTCAGCACCCTGTGGAGTTGACTTTCTTTTTCATCCCTCAAGTCGTTCAAGCACTTCGTTACGATGACCTCGGTATTGCCTCTTTCTACAATATAAAGTACTTACTGACTGGAAGCACAGGATATGTTGCCCGTTTTATCTTCGAGACCGCCAAAATATCCCAGTTATTCTGCCATCAGATTATTTGGAACATGAAAGCTAACTGTTACAAGGACGATGCTGCAGAGATTGTTCGTGCTCTCCTGTCTCATCAATAAGCATCTAATTACTTGTCACAGGAGGATCCCATGAAACCAGTTCTTGATGCGATGACAGATCAAGTCGTAAATTCCCTCTCGGGTGCTGCCAGAGCCTTCTATGATCGGGAATTCTCCTTCTTCAACGAGGTTACCGCGATTTCTGGAAAGCTGAAACCATACATAAAAAAGCCAAAACCGGAGAAAAAGGTGTGTACCATCATGAAGTAAAGTATCAATGTATTGACTGTTATTGCAGGCCAAGATTGATGAGGAAATGGCAAAGATCAATGTCGACATCGGGGTTTATTTGCCAAGTAATCCTGATGGGATAGTGGTTGATATCGACAAGAAGTCGGGACGCCCTTTGCAGAGTCATGCAAAAGTTGGTTTGGTCGCTTTCTTGTCATACTACTTGTGTAACTTTCCCTTCAGGCTCCCTTTATGGCCACATTCAAAGTTAGGAAGGAACGGGTCGATATCAACACTGATCCTGATTCCCTCTTGAATGGTGATGGAGGAGGCGTAGAGACTCGCACAGAATATGACGTGTGGCAACAGGCAATCTTCAAAGTGGGAGACGACTGTCGTCAAGATGTTCTCGCGCTCCAGGTTATCGCAATGTTCAAGAACATCTTCACCAGCGTTGGCTTGACTTTGTATCTATTTCCATACCGGGTTACGGCGACTGCACCGGGGGTACGTCTATATATTTTTCCCATCAACAATGACTAACTCGTCTGATAGTGTGGCGTCATTGATGTCGTTCCAAATGCCACATCACGAGATGAAATGGGAAGAGCAAAGGTTAATGATCTTCAAGACTTTTTTATCGCAAAATACGGCGGACAAGACACCATAGGCTTCCAGCGGGCACGGCTAAATTTCATCCAATCTATGGCCGCCTATTCGGTCGCCTGCTACATCCTTCAAATTAAAGATCGTCACAACGGCAATATCATGATCGATGGCGATGGTCATATTGTTCACATCGGTAGGTCAAGCAAGATCAACAAACGAGAACAATTGGCTGACGCTGTTATTTCTTCTTGAGACTTCGGATTCCTTTTCGACATAGATGAGTAGTAACATTTGTCTTAGTGTGATCTGATTGACTTATCTTCGTTCACGTTTTACGGCCCGGAGTAGGGAACCTCTCTTTTTCATATCAAGACTTTTGCTGATCTGGATGCTAGGGAATCAAATTTGAACCGAATTCATTCAAGTTGAACCACGAGATGGTCGTTCTCATGGGAGGGAAATACTCACAAGGCTACCTGCTTTTCCAGAACCTCACTGTGAAGGCATTCTTAGCGATTCGCCCATTTGCGGAGCAAATCATTGATACGATCCAACTCATGTTAGACACTGGCTTACCTTCATTCAAAGGAGAATCGACTATCCGGCGCCTTCGAGACCGCTTTGCCTTGCACTTGAACGAACGTCAGGCGGCGGACTTCATGGTTGGCATCATCCGTAATGCTCACGAGAACGTTAGGAGTACAGCGTATGATGAATTCCAAAGAGTGAGTCATATTTCCTATTCATTTTTCCAGTCGCTAACATACTCACAGCTGCAAAATGGTCCGCCACATTCAACTAATCGTGATCCGAGCATTTGTAAACTGACTTTCAACAGGTATCCCGTATAAATGACCTTGCGTGATAATATCTAGGTAGATCACTTGACTTAAAGATATCGAATGTGCCTAAGTAGACTAAGTGACTGAAATGTAATCCTCAAAGTGTGTGCATGCAGAGCAGGGCCAGAGATTTTTTGGAGAGTGAAGGACTACTAGGAGTGTTCAGTTGTCATGGGCACTATAGCCAAGTGGTTACGGCGACAGATTCGAATGAAATATCTGTTCCTCTTTGAGGGCGCAGGTTCAAATCCTGCTGGTGTCGAGTTATTTTTGTCCGTGCCACAATGGTTCTGGACTCACATGAGCTGAATATCGTGTGTAATTATTTTCTGAACTCATTGTAAATTATAGCTTTGCCTCCAGAACCAAAAAGGTCAGAAGGGCGACTTGAGGACGACGTCGTCAAATATCACCATCTGGATTCTCGTATTTGCTCAGGCAGAACGCACGTTTACCACCTGGGATCATCCAACTATCAACATCAAAGATCCAAAAGGGGGCGTCGACTTCAATCTTTTTACCACTGGATAATCCATTGTGAACCATAGGCAGGTTGCCTAGCACGGGTTTCAGTCGCTCACATAAGCCGCGTCGAGTCGTGTCGTCCTCTGGAAGATAAGTTCGTTTGAGACCATCTAGTAAGCAGCACTGGACGTGGCTGGTTAGTAGGGCGATGGACTTTCTGACAAAACACCTACTTCATTATTGACTGAAACTGTAATTTGGTTTCGATCTTCGTCCTCTATCATGAGATACAATTGGTACAGGTACTGAACATACTCGTGTTCAGAATCCATGCAATTGAGGCACGCCCGGTTTCTCCGCGGTATCCTAATCGGATGAACGTGTCATGGTATGATCCATCGATCTCTGGTTAGGACTTACTCTGCTTTACAACGGGTGCATTGTTGATAGAAGGCATCCTCCAGGTTTAACGGGTAAAAATCCACAGCCCTGGCAAAGAAACGGAACTTGTGGGGGCGGGTATCTTCTGTATCAATGTCCTTGATACGAGTGCAAGTCGATGGAAGGCGCTCGGCGAGTTGAAATTCTTGCACTGGGGTATTTATCCTACGGGGTATATTTTCCACTGCTCTGATATTCTGCTTGGAGTTCGGCTGCTGTTGAATCAGATTCCTTTGCCACATTTCCTTCCGACTACCGTCGTAAGCCAGATGAGAGAAAAGACCAAGACCGAAATCGACTCACCGAAGCAACCCATTGAGATGCTCATTATCAGTCCTGCTGGGGTGCAATGGACTGACCAGTTTCTCATTCCCACCCAGGAACCCACGGAAACACTGGTCCACTGCGCTGTATCGTAGCCTGAGCTTCCGGATACTATAGAAGCTGCCTACGAGCGCAGATTCTGCTAGAGCTTGTTGCTCGTCGGACAGCAGAATCTTGACAACGTAACCCTCGAGACCTTTTGACCATGTTTCACCGATCGTTGTCGTGGAGAGACGTGGATGCGAGGTGTAATCAGTCACGTATAGATGTGATGCTTGGTTAGAACCCCTGACGGTATGAACAAGCTTGCTTTCGGCATGAGTACCCAGAAACGGTGAAGGAGAGTTGAAGGCATGATCGCTTACCTCGACAGTACAGTGGAAAAACTTTGATTCCTCGACGTCTTGGATCAAACAATACTTTATGTCTGTATCAGGTTTGGCATGTTTAGCCTCCCAGGCTTTTCTTCTTCTGAAATAGAATGTCAGTATGGAGCCTAAAGCAATTCATTATTTGAGATCACAAACTCGAGCAATAGTTTCAGATCAATGTTTGTGGAGGCATCACTCTCCTCGAGTCGAATCATTTTGTCCTCCTGCACCTTCCCCTCAAGATACCCTGCACTGCTGTTCCTCATCTTGGCGTTGTCAATGTAATAGAAGTCTCCGGCTTGCATGGTACGCGCAATCTTAGCAGATTTGTCCCACATCTCGACTTGAAGCACCAAATCGGACAATGCAGGTGGACACCAATTGCTCTGAACTGCTTGCATCTGTTCATTGTGCGTGTAATCAGTCACATATACGGTGACAAAATCTCGCGATTCAGAAAAGATCTTCAACACCTGCAACCATTTCGAAAATAAGTATGGACAACATGCAGAATAGTGACAAAATCTTACCTCGACGGTACAATTGAAATACCCGCCAGGGGGAACAGAAGGACCAGCTTCACTGATCAATCGATGCGTCCGCGGTATGACCTCTCGTCCCCGTTGTTTGGGCGCCTCGGCGACAGCGACTTCGGCCTTCTTGTTCACCTCCAACCACCAATCGGACAATTTCACGCAATACATGATCTCAGCCTCTTTGGGTTCGTAAAATGGAGAAAAACGAACTCCGAAACCCCCGTCGACAAGGCCCTCTTCCCTCGGTACATTGTTCAATTGTCCATGATGGATTTTACCCTTACTTGGTGAGAAGGCTGCCCAACGAAGTTTGTCGGCGTACCCTGTACCTGTTAGGTTACCTAGATAATCTACCACCTTCAAATAAGTCAACAGGCGTCGTTCCAGGACTGTTCAAATATACAACATACCTTCACACTGCGCAAGATAATGACATCGCCATCCTGGGGGTTTGGCAACCACTCTTTGTATTTTTTGGTGAAGCAGTTGATCTTCAGTTCTTTTGACCATGTAGAGGTGCCGACATCGCAATTACTCGGATCGACCAGGTGAATGTAACGCATCCAATCTACCACAGTATGGGGATTATTAGTAGTCCATCAATTAACAGTTATTTGGCAGGCGCATACCCCCCCTCCGTGTCTGAGAAGGCGCTGATGCTGTGGTCACAACTCCAATTATGTGGACAGTCCTCCCTTCCCGAATGTCGTTTATGGCTGTGTATACTTCCTTGAAACAACATTGTGTCTATTAGATCATGTGAGGCAAGATGCGGAACAAGCACAGACTTACCCCACCTGAGCGGAATCCGGCTTGGAGATGTATCGGTCCTGTCGCTTGTCGAGGCGGGGGATCCAGAGCACTAGTAGTCGAGTGGGGAATGATGGAGTTATTGGAGGACTGAGCAACACCCGTTGACGGGGGTTCACTTGTTGTAGCAATGTGCGTTGAGGACGACTTAGAGGTTTCTTCGCCTCCCAAAGAACCCTGCCCACCAACCTCATCTGGAGGTCCACTAACATTGTTGAGTGAGACGGAGTTTTTGGCATGCTCTAACACCTCGTTTTCCAAAAGCGCCTTCTTCTGCCGTTTGGCTTCCATCCGTTTACGTTTCTTGATACTCCGTGGAGAGTGCTCTTCTGGTTCGGTAACGCGAGATGACTCGGCTTCGGTTCGGGGAGGAGGTGGGGAAGGTTCTCTGTTCAAAGCATCATCACGTTTGCGTTTGGATGGTAGACTCTCTGTAGACGAATCTTTCGCCGGAAGGTCCTGTGTCACGAACCACCTGTTCTCATTTATATCATGTGCATCACTTACTACTAGAGCGTTAAGTGTATACACAACCCAGAGGAATGCCACATACATAGCCATGAATTCACCATCTTCCTTTCCTGGTCTGAGCCTTTATGTTTCCATTCTACGTGTATACCACGTTTGTAGACAAGTTTCATGGGCAACGAACAGATCTGCGGCATTTTGGCAAGTTTTTCTAGTTCTGCTCCTCTTAGAGATATACGGAATTCATCGTGAGCGGCGAAGTCAAGCCTGTCGAGAAGGTCCTCCTGGGTTAGGTCGAAAATGATTTGAAATGCCTCGGGCTGCTGCTGATATCCTGAAGCAATGCGGACGATGGTTTGCCTTTTCTTGCCGGCGCTGTGAGGCCAGGCCATGAAGAAATTGCCAGCAATGCACGCATCTTCATTCACGCCATGCTCCAGAATGTCCCTGGGGGATTGCTCGACTAGGTGATCAAGAGTGCTTCCAGATTGTTGATTGACTTTCACGCGTTCCATTTCGTCCTGATCCTGGGTCGTACTAAGCTTCATTCTGACATCTATGAGATGAATGAAACTTGGAAGAGTGAGTAAAGTCAATTGAAAGTCAAGATATCGCGGTCAGGGTCAATTGCCAAAGTGGAAGGTCCCGTGATCTTGTGACGCTTCGTGTTCTGTTACTGTAACATTGCCTGGTACCACACAACAGTTTGACAACAGTAGTGATGATTACTTACGGTGCTGGATTAGCTATAGTATTAGCACTCCTTTAAGAGGAGGCTCTGTGGAACCATTAGATATTACATGGTGATGATTGCCATAAATCCGACTACTAGCAGCGATACCGAATGAAAGTTGTCCATGTAGTCCAATAGACCCAAAGAAAATGACGTTGAAGGAGTAGGTGAAGGCGGTGACCTAATGGTGGTTTCGACTTTGGTAGGAGGCGTGTAAGGTATGCTAGTATCAAGGAAGTAAGTCTGCAGAAAATCTTCAGTAATGGTTGTTCCATTGACGACGCCGTGTAGGTCGATTGTCAGTTGCGTCCCAACGTCTTCGACAACCGCTGAGTAGAATTGGAAGCCCTCCACTTCAGGTATAGATTGGTTGAACTTGAGCTCCGCGGACATGCTCAAAGGTGGCGCATACTTTTCCATCGCGTTGTCATATGCGTCGAGGTAAATTCGCGCCGGATTGATCCCCTTCCTCGCCTGTTCCGTTCCGTTAAATAAATGAATTAGACAAGAGAAGATAGATACACATACCGCAGCGACAATGTCGTAGGTCTTGATGCTGTCATTCACTCCATGGAAATTAACGGAGCTCAATGTTGGAACGTAGAGTAGTTCATCTTGGGCGACCAAGTACCCAGTCGAATCGTTGTCGTAAAGTTTTGCCGGCTTTCCGTCGCGTTCGTCCACCTCAAACCAGAATTGCGCAATTGATATCGTTGGGTCGATTGGGATCACAAATTCATATCGGACAAAATAATAGCCGAGTTTGAAAGTCAAAGGCGAGATCTGTGGATCATCTTTAGACTGACTGGCGAAGGGTGCAGATTTTGCGTTGCCGTTGCAATTCTGGAATTCTCCATGACGATCGCACCAAAGAAGCTTGACAACTCTCGTTTTACCAACAGTGGTTCCTATTCGTTCAGCGAGCTAAAGAGGTTGAAAGAAATTAGTGTCCATTGTGGAACGCCCTCGAGTGCAGGCCTTACCCGAAACGAAGCTTTGAAGACAAGTTTTCCACGTTCTATTGTCAATTGGGCGTTCGATACTTTAGCCGGCAGTAGGTCGATAGGCTCCGTCAATTTTACTGTCGAAGGGACCATGTTGAGCATTCGTTCCA